TTATAAATTTTATATTGATATTTACATCCCAAAGCCAAAATATAGAATTAGACTGTAGTTTTTTTGTTGTTGTTATTGTTTAGTCTGATAGGTTCTGGTATCAACACAGAACTTCAAAAATTTTTCTTAAAGCTTTTTTCTTTTTTAATCTAGAATAGCTTAAATAGTGTTGGAATTATCTTTAAAGGTTTAGTAGAATTTGTTTTTCATCCGAGTCTGGGGCTTTTTTTTCTTTCTTTCTTTTTTTTGGTTAAATTTTCACTCATTCCTTTATGGAAGTCAGTATATTTATGTTTCCTATTCTTTCTAGGTTTCAATGTTAATATATATTTTCCTATCTACTGCATAGAAGTTTAAAAGTTTATTTGCCAAGAATTAAGCTTATGCATTTGTTATTTGTTCCCTGTCACACTATTTTTTAATTGATTAGATTACTTATTGGTTTATATTAATATTAATTTTTTAACCTCTCAAAAACGTGTGCTGTCCAATTCATAAATTTCAGCATTTACTTTTTTCATCTGATCATTCTTTCTGCTTTCTTTTAGTTTACTTTGTTTTCCTTTTCATGACTTTTCTGAGTTGGATATTTTCTGATATATGTTGTTAAGTATATGAGTTATCTCCTGATCATTGTTTTAGGTGCATTTATGGAGAAAAGAATTAACATAGCAGGCCTGAGACTGATATTTTTAGAAAGTACTGCTTGAGAAATTATGAACTTCAAAATCTGGGAACTTAGATTTTGGGAGAGTGCTCACCGTTCCTTGGTAAGAGTGTCTCACGGTGCTCAAATTGTGTTTATAAACAATGTGGATTATGCTGAACACCTGCTTTCCTTCTGAGAGTCTGGAATTTTGGTACATTCTATGCAGAGGATTCTTACGTGACTAGCCTCCAGTTAAAATTCTTGGCACTGAGTTTCTAGTGAGTTGCACTAGTAGACAACATTTGTCACAATGCATTGCAAGAGAGAGTAAAACACGTCCCTTGTGACTTTATTGGGAGAAGACTCTTGGAAGCTGGTTCCTCGTTTCTTCTGAACTTCACCCTTTCCCTTTGCTGATTTTGCTTTGTATCCTTTCATTATAATAAATCTTAGCTGTGAGTACGACTATATCCTGAGCCCTGTGAGTCTTCCTAGCAAATCATCAAATATGGGGTTGCCTTTTGACAACCCCAACAAAGCATCTTATGAATTCTTACTGTAGTAATCTTATTATCATTGTTCCCTAGACATTCTCCAATGTTGGTTAGTGTTTCCCTTTTGACTCAAAAATTTTTAAGAGATGTTATCAATTTGTGGTTGAAATGGAATATCTAATCATTTTTTACACTGTGGTCAGAGACAATTGCTTTTTTCTTTTACTTCTTCTGTATTGGAATTTATTGATTTTATTTTATATCTTAACATATAGTTAATTTTTGTGCATGTTTTGTAGGATTTTATATAAAAGAAATGTTTCACTTTTTGAGTACACAGTTTTATAAATATCCATCAAATCTACTTTAATAAATATATT